GCTCACGCTTTCTCTGAAAGGAGGCAGTGGTAATGATGAAGGTGGTGACTTCTGTTGGTTTATAATCCCGTGCTAAACCACTGCAGATGAAGTTGCGTCGAACATTTTTGTAATTTCACATTTCAATTAGCATTCTATGACAACTTGTTATTATGAAAGCAGAGGAGTTAACATCTATGGTGGCAACTTTTATAATTTGGTGGCAACGATTATCATTTGGTGGCAACTATTATCATTTGGTGGCAACGATTATCATTTGGTGGCAATGATTATCATTTGGTGGCCACTATTATCATTTAAAACAAATATGGTTTAACCATTAATTTAAGGTTAGTAAATAAGACATTGCATGGCCTCGAAACAAACATACAATACTTGTTTAGCATGTGGCTTTCCTGCCACATTGTGGCGTAATCGTTGAACTGCAACCGTGCCGAATCGCATCCGGCTGCTGGAGCAAATGCAGTTAGAGTGCACCTATGAACGCTCGTGCAGAAAATCAGAAGAATTAAAAACGCTATTCGCTCAGCACGTGACGTGGGACGTGTTTAACAATCATCGGGCGCGTGCAGGGTGGAACGAGTAAGTTTGTGTGCATACGAGCGGAATGATGATGAAGAACTTTCACGAACTCAATAGGATTCTGGAAAAAAAAGATCCAATGATTTCTGATTATAAAACCCCGTTAAGATTTTGCAGATTATAATAAAGCTATATTACGCCATGTAAATGAACGCAGATATACAACTATATTTTATATTGTTAATGGATGTCTATGTGTATTTGTGGTTTCTATGTGTATTTGAGTTTATATGTGTGTATATGTTTCTATGTGTATTGGGTCTCTATGTGTATATGGGTTTTAATCTGTATATGGGGTTCTATGTGTGTATAGGTTTCTATGTGTATTTGGGTTATATGTGTATGTCGGTTTCTATGTGTATTGGGTTTCTCTGTGTACGTGAATCAATTTTGCCAAGTGATTCAAAGCGACATGGAAATATATTTTCACAAAATTGGGATTGGATAAAGAAAGGCGTACATGTGCACGGATAAAATATGAACCATCTCGGGAAATTGACTTCAGGAAATTATTGAAGGACTTGACAAATTCAAGGGCTTTGCAGCGTGTACGAAATTATCTGGGCACGTGTCATGACGGGTACGTTCGAGGTCGCTTGCCAGAAATGAACCACAATTCCTCGTTGATCTCGTCAAGGACCATGACCTATCACGTGAACTCCGGTCATTCTCGCAGCAGCGGATTTTGGCTGCTTGCCATCGAACAAAAACGGTGGTCACCGCATCGCGCGCTTTCAGATGCGCTTCTGCGGCCGTCTGGAACACTCTTCCTTCCGATATTAGGTTAGCCACTAGAACCATGTACAGGTAGTCCCCGACTTACGATGGTCCGACTTACGATATTTCGATCTTACGATGGCGATATGACAAAATTGTAAAATATTTTACATTTCGCACGGCAGGCAAACGCAGCAGCATATGAGGTACAATACTGTACGCTGGGATGCTGCCGGGATGTACTGTACGCTTATAGTTTATACAGTACGTTACTGTAAATTGCTTTGTCTTGCTAAATTATCACCATTCTGTAAGACTCCTGGGTAGGCTAGGCCATTTTCGACTTACGATATTTTCGACTTACGATGGGGTCGTCGTAACGCATCTCCAACGTAAGTCGGGGACTAGCTGGACTTTTAAATCAAGATCGCACCGTATGGCTACATACGGTGCGAAAGAAGTTCAACATACATACAACACACGTAATAAAGGTTGGGCTGAAGATGAATAGGAGCAAAATGGGAATCACGTACCGTCCATCAAGTTCTCTAAACAATGAAAGACATATGTTGGAGAGGCACAACTGGAAATCAGAGCAGAATATCTGTATGCCTTGGACTTTGAACACAATCATTAAATAAAAAATTGGACGAGGAGCGACACTGTGAGAGATGGCAATGGCTTTGGGAAGGGCTTAATCTAGCAGTGGATAGATCATAGCTGATGATGATGATAGCAGATCATAAATATGAAACTGGAGCAATGCAAAGCCACGTATGCCCAGCGACCTCTGTCTTCTTAGTGGTTTTTTTTGTTGAGAAACTGGATCGTAAATGTATGTTTAGGCCGAGGTGACCTAGGCCAGTGGTTCTTAACCTCTACTGCAGCCTTGCACCCCTTTGGTTCTCAATCGTAAAACAAATTATGTTAATAAATACATAGGGATTAAATTTCGATTTAAAGCTTTCGTGATTGCAGGGATTCATCTTCTTGGTTCTTTCGGTAAAGTCACGTAGAAGGGAAGTAATAAAATAATAAAAATAAAACATAATAAAATAATTCTCACGACGTTTCGGCTACAACGAATGGCGTCACCTGAAGACGGCTGCTTGCGTTGTAGCCGAAACGTCGTGAGAATTATTTTATTATGTTTTATTTTTATTATTTTATTACTTCCCTTCTACGTGACTTTACCGAAAGAACCAAGATACATAGGGGTTGATTAAACAAAGTAGTTGTACTTACGGTGCCTGTGCTCAATTTGTGTTTAGATGATTTACCTTCTAAAAACAATCTGGCCACGTCTCGCACCCCCAGGGCTGCTTGCTTCCCAGGTTAAGAGCCACTGACCCACGTGGACTCCGATTTGGTTCTCATAATAAGTGCCGGACATCTGGCTCTTTTATTTAACCAGCTGAGGGCCTAGCCACTGAGGTCATCTCTTTTGCAAGGGAGACGAGTGAATTGCAACTTTTCTTTTGTTGTTGCAAATTTCTCGACGGTGATTTCACAGCGGTCAAAGGAGGAAGCAACCCCAATGATCGTGAGATGAGCGAGGCGCTGCGACTCCGATTTCAAAACATTCCATCTTACAGTAACGCGCGTCGCTCGCACGACATGGAGAGGCCTTCATACAGCTGTGGATTGATAACGGGCTGTATGTAACATGTCACTTCTTGTTTCATGGATGGCAGGCAGTGTGTGGCAGAAAGCTCTCGGCTGACAATCAGAAGTCCATATCCCTGTTGTGATCAATTGAGCCAATCGTCCTTCGGGGGGGGGGGGGAGTGAAATAAAACACATTCCTGCAGAGGGAGCTGGTAGGAACGTTGGGTTGCTCGGTCAATGGCCAGGGTCAACGGCGGCGTGGTGTGAGGGCGGGCACAAGCCGGCGTGAGTAGGTTAAACGTTGAGTTTTATAAGGGCACCACGGAGTGACCAGCCCCTCCCCACCCAGCCCCACCCCTCCCACCCCACACCCAGCCCCACCCTCCCCACCCAGCCCCTCCCCACCCTCCCCACCCAGCCCCTCCGCACCCAGCACCACCCCACCCAGCCCCTCGCCACCCAGCCCCTCCCTCCCCATCCAGCCCCTCCCTGCACGACGGACACAATAATCCCCTGTGGGCTGGTGTAACCAGGAGGTTCCTACCAATATTATTACGAACTCTGTGTAAAGTTGACGGTTGTTCTCCTGTTCAGATAATGGACTTCCACATGGGAATGTTAAATCTGTCACCGTTGCTTCAGGGCCACCAACAGAGAAGAGCACCTTCCTGGTGTTCGTTTTGACACAGGGGACACTGAACTTTGACCCCTTAGACCCGCCTGCGTTCTTCCACTGTGACACGATGACTTACTATTCTGAACGATGCCACGTGATCTTAACATCCACCGCAGAGCTAACACTGGATTGCTGGGTGACTGTAGTAGTGGGAATCGCTGCTTTTCTTCGCGTGCCACTGGACTGGAGGTGATGGGTGGTGCTTGGTGACGCCATCGGCGTCATCGTTGGGACATGGCTTGCAGGGGGATTTCCCTCCTTAGGACGGCAGGAGGTGGGGGTATAGGCTGCTATTTTTAAAGGGGCTCGTGGAATCGACAACAACAAAAGTTGTCAATAAAGTACATTTTTATAATATAGGTTTTTGGGTTAGATCGCGTGAATATAAATGTGCCGTTAAACCCACCGCCACCACCCGACACAGCCAATTAGTAAGGTTTGTCACGTAAACAAAACGTGCCAATTCGTTACTAGCACGGCACGCCGATAGTGCATTGGAGAGTAAACCCACGACATTTACAATTCGAGTACAATTTTTAGTCGGCACAATCGACTTAATGGACTAATCGTGCAGGCCCTTAATTCAAACGCTCAACCCTGGCTCGCTGACAAGCCTGCTCTAACCGCGTGGCTCTTTCTGGCTTGCCTCCACGCGGTTACATTTCCACGTGTTATTCTCCGCCAGCCAACACGACGTTGAACTGTCGGAGAGAATTTCACGGATCTGTTTTTTTGTTGTTGCTCTGTTAGTCGGCGAGGGTTCAACAGTGGGGGGGGGGGGGGGGTTAGGGGTCAAAGGCAAGGCGTGAAGTGAGAAGGAATGTTAATCCCCATGGATAATATTGTCCGCAGATGTTTGACCTGTGTCTAACAAGAAGGGATTTCCCAACTGAATTCAAAACAAGCCCGCTCACTCCGTCACGGCATGTAGCTGCGAGCACGCACACGCACACACATAGTCCTATGGCATTCCCATAGCAAATGCACATTCTCCCAGTTTTTTTATTCTTCCAGCGATTGTATTGCATCTGGCGAGGATGGCGCTGCGGATAGAGTACTTGGCTCGCAAGTTCAGATCCCCGGAATATTTTGACCTAAACTTTGTGGTTGGAAACCAGAGTGACCAGATGAAACTCACACATATGAAGGGAAATCTCTTCGTATGTCTGGGTAATATGCCTCCTTGCTTTTACTACCACATACACCTTGATTACCCTGCAGTTGGGTGTATCGGATTGCCAAGAAAGCTGTCACAGGTTACAGGTATCCCTCGATATACGGAACAGGTATGTTCCGGAGAAACTGTCCGTAAAGCTAATCGCGTGTATATATAAGAGAATTGGAGGTGTGTTCCGATGGCAAAAATAATCATTCAACCCAAGACGCAATAAAATGACAGCTCAGAATGCAGCAAAATTTTTTGAGCAAATATTTAATAGAAAATCGATAATGTTACGATAAAATATTGTTAACAGGACTCAAAATAAGTCGAGAAATACAAATTCTCTACTGTACTTACCAGAAACTGTGATGACATGTACATTGTTCAAATATTACCTCCAAGAGATTGCAATTTAGAGATTCAAAATTCCGTGAACGCTAATTTAACGCAAGTCCTATCAAATTCGTTCCCTAATTTGTAATTTACGTTGTCGAGAAATTTCATGTACTGAGTTTCCGTTTAACAAGGGATGACTGTATTTCACTCTTAAGATTATTAAGCATTAATTTCATTTGACAAACACATTCACATTGGAGCAACTGGTATTTAATTCGGGTAGCATTAAAATATGACTGTACACTTGAATGTGAACATTTTATACAATGGTATTTACAGCAGATATTTACAAGACGCGCTCGCAACGTATGTGCCGGTGTCACGGGGATTGCATATCGCTCAAAAGCTGACTCGGCAGGGCTTGACATCAACTATGAAACAACTGGAGAAGAAGCTTCTGCCATTTAGAATCAGGATGCAGTTGGCAGTATGCTATTCATTTCATGGCAGAGATTGTGTTAACACCTTGCAACTTCAGAATAAAAAGTGTGGCGAAGAAAGTGTTGGTATATTTATCCAGCACGAGGTGGTGAGTGTGAGTTAAAGCAAGTGTGCAGGATTGGAGGAGGGCAGATGACCCGAGGCGGGAGTTCGGGAGTGACAGCCAGAGTTCGGTGACCAAGGGGAAGAGGACCCTGAGCCAAGGTCGTTGGAATTACCGCTGTGGCAGAATTTCAGGCATCAACTGCGTGACGGCTTTCGAATCTGCCAGAAGGACGGAATCGATCGATCGCTCTGGTGCGGAGGCATCATTTTACGAGGTGAAAAACAAAAACTCGGTTCCAGAACTCCTGTGGGGAGCAGATATTACGTGAAGTCAGCAGATATTTATGATAAAACGATCATTACAGAGCTCGAGTTACTGTGGAAAGGCCCTCTCACCCAACCTGAGATGTGACTGTGCAAAGAGTGGTTCGGCACACGTTAAGCAGCCAAACTGTAGAGGTCTCATGCTCATTGCATCCTCAATTGACTGAAAACCCAACTTTTTTTTTACAAAGGTTTTTTTGTAGTCATAGGGAACCGGTATGAAATCATCAAAGCACCATCCTTGAGAGCATGGTGGCTGGAGCCTAAATTCAAACACAAAGCATCAGCAACATTGGCAACATGTCCTATTTAATAAAGCGTTTATTTATGTCGGAAAACCACGCTAAGTCTCCATTCATTTTCAGAAGCATCCCTGAAATTGGCCAATTCCTTGATAACAGCGCCAAACCAGGTTGTCTCTGTCTTCATTTGAACAATGGAGCAGTGTTCATCTCAATTGGCGGCCTTGCTTGAGCAGTGGAAACGGCACGCTCCCATGGCAGGGGCCAGTCTCTCCATGGGACGAACACCACCAACTTCTCCCAGGAAGCTGTACTTATATTTGATTTCCTCCAAAGTGACGATTGAGCTGAAGTCGACCCCTGACCAGGATTTCGGCTTACAACTCCCCCGAGTCAATTGCCGTAACAACGGCGCCACCTGCAGCATCGCCGTGAGTCCGCGACGGGCGCTGCGAGGCCCCCAGCTACGCCGGGCAAGCCTGCCCTCTCACTTAATAACCTTCCGCAGCCAGTCCGTGAAGGCCGACACGTTGGTGTACCCTGTGGGCAAGCCGGCGCTGCCCTGGCACCCGCCAGAGTGGCCCCAGCTCACAAGCCCCAGCAGGTGCCAGAGGCCGCCAGGCCGCCCTCCCGCGCCTCGCGTCGCGGACGCCGCGATCCCTCCGGTCTCGGCAGGGCACCACGACGCTTCGCCCGAGCCGACGGGCAGCGCCGGCGCGCAGAACATCCTGGCGGTGACGGGCACGGCGGCGCCGCGCGCCTCCAGCTCGCGCTCGCACTGCGCCGTGCCCATGATGGAGATCTGCGCGGAGAGCGGGCGGCCCGCGTCCCTGGCCGGCCCCGAGCCGTTGGAGGAGAGGCGCCACCCGGAGACGAAGGCAGCGCCGGAGGAGGAGGAGGGGGAGGACGGTGGCGCCGCCGGGGTTGCGGCGGTGGACAAGCGGTCAGGAGGGAGGCACACGGGCTGCACACGATCCGACAGGTCAGCGCTGCCCGACAGGCGGATCACGGCCAGGTCGCCGTCCAGCAGCACGGGGTCGTAGGCGCGGTGCACGAGGATGTTGGAGACCTGGGCATGGGAAGGGCCGATGGGGTCAGGTGGACAAATATCATCAGCCGTACGCCAGCCGATTGCTATCCAACAATGGGTAAAGGTGTGCCCATGGCATGATGGTGATGGGATTTATTTGACTGTGCTTCACCATGCAGGTCAGTCTGGGCTGATGAAGGGAGGGCAGGACTGGTTGGGATATCACTCACCACTGATGTTAGCCGTTGCTGGGAATCGAACCGGGACGGGTCGGTTCATAGCAAAGTATGCTAACCACTATACCACTGCTCCAACTCATGAACATACGTAGTATTATGAAATGGGAAATAATTACTTTTATGGATGCATTTTCTCTTTAATATTAGACTCTGTTTCCAGGGCCTTGCCTATATTCTCTGTTAATGTTATTATCAATCTTTTACTTTTAATTGCGAGTTTAGTGATTTATACTGAAGGAACTTATTTCCACTTGCACGGCATGTCACTTGCTCATGGTACATCTGCAGTGAAACGTGCGTTGTGAATGAAACATTTAAATAGTGTACGTATGTTTGTTGAACTTTTTTCACACCGTGCGTAGCCAACCGTGCTAACCGGAGGTGCGAGATGAAGATGAGTGATTTCTATTTACACAAAGGGCGAGATAAACAAACAGAGAGGCGGACACAGGCAGACAGAAACAGAAAAAGTAAATATATAGCTGAATGGAGACATATATGTATATGAGTAAACAGCAAAGGTTATTGTAGAGGATACTGATACCTCATGTTCTGAAGATAATGAATGCATGTGTATAATGTAAGAGGAGAGTATGGTTTTTGTAATTGCGACTGTGGAAGTCGTGATGGATGGGGACAGGTGTTGGAGGAGCACCCAGAGGTCAGTAACAACTGGAGCTGTGCACTTTTAAATCTAATTTGAAAACTCAATTCTTGAGAACTGCTTTTTGTGTTTAATTCATTGCCATTGCGCCGCACCTCCGATTACCGCCGGTTGGATACGCACGGCGCGAAAGAAGTTCAACACCCGTACGTACATTCGTGAGGCTCGACCGGTGAAGAAAGAAGGAAACCAGAGTGTGGTGGAGGAGCAGGAACCGCGTCCCCTCCCGACCGCCGGTACCTTGGCAATCTGCTCGGCCTTCCCATTGCCGCCGTGGCCGCTGCCCAGCACGACGCGCACGTCGGTGCGCTTGAGCGGTGTGGACGTGCCGAAGTGCGTGACGCAGTGCGCCGTCGACACGAGCGATCGCTCGCTCACCAGCGCCGCGGCGCAAACCAGCAGCCAGGCGCCGTCGGCCCGCGCCCCCGCGCCCGCTCCGACTCCCCCGCCGGCGCTTCCTCTTCCTCCGCTGCCACCGTTGTTGTTGCCGCCGCCGCTGCTGCTGTTGGTGTTTTGGCCGCCGCCGCCTGTAGGCGGCCGCACCTGCCGGTAGACGGCGGCTTTCCAGGGCCACGGAGTCCCCGAGATGTTCCAGCCGTCTGCCCTGCCGCAGACTGAGACGACGATGGGTCAGTCCGTCACTCCTTGATGGTGACGACGGTGACTGCGACGATAGCGACTACAAATATTGTGACAGATGGCGATGGTGATGATGATGATCAGAGTGATCACGATAACCGCAAATATTAATCAAGATTACGATGGTGATGATGATGACTTCGGTGGCTGATGAAAAACTATTGTAATCGATGTATGCTGATGCAATTATGATAGTGATTACCTAATGACTGATATATATATACAGGGTTCTTAAAAATAATTTTAACACTTCTGAGAATTTACAACAATACCACAAGAAATTCCCCTCCGGGCTCTGGAGACCACCTGGAGAAGATTCCAAGCACGATATTCACATATAAGAGTTAACATTTTTTTGAAGCACGCTGTATAATTGCGATTTCCTATCTAGTGATGATTCCAATAGGATACCTTCATCCGTCAGTGGATTGACTTCGACTAATGATGTTGATTCAAATAAAGTTGACATAATGAAGACATTTATTCATGATGAATATAGCAATTTAGACAATACATTATGATGATAATTGTGATTGATAAATACAACGCGCTGCTTTTTCTGACAATGCTTATGTATAGCAATTATTATCAATAAATTACGGCGATAACGATTACAACTGATTTTTGGATATTACAATTATTAACGAATGATAATGGAGCTACGTTGTGGGCAACAGAGGGAAGACAGCAAAGTCCATCGTCGAACTGTTACTTCTATGGTTCCCTTCACCAGTCCGTACTGACCAGCACAATGAAGTATGGTCAGAGACACAGACAACACCTTTGAAGTTGGGTGGTAGCCTACCAGAGAACTTGTAACGTGCTCAGACATCACAGGAAACCACGTGGAAAGGTGGCCAGAACCGGTGACAATTGCCAAAGCTCTGTGGGCCTATGTTGGAATGTTTTTCCAGCTCCGCTAATGGGTGTTTGCACAGGTGGGAGGAAAACTGGAGTATCCGGGAAACAAAACAAATAAAACACGTTCCTGCGAGGAGGGCAGTAACACTCAATCCCCGCGAAGATAGAAATGAATCACAATAATAGATATTTGGGTAAGATTGCGTAAATATAAATGTGTCGTTAAACCCGCCACCACCTGACGCAGCCAATGAATAAGGTTTGTCATGTAAACAAAATATAGCAATTCGTTACAAGTACAGCACACCGGTGTGTTGGAGAGTAAACCCACATGTTTTATATTTACGCGATCTAACCCAAAAACCTTTCCTATGGATAATATTGGTCGTGAAAGCCAACTCGGTGTTAAAACAGAAATTTACCAACTTGCTATACTGCTATACCTAGGCAAAACCAGGAGATGGCGACCGTAATCATCCATGGATCGAGAGAATCAAGGTGACATGCGTGATCCACCAATCCCCGTCTCCAAATTCCTCGAGTGGGGAGTGTGCGCCGCACGCGTGCCGTTGGCCAGGGTGGCGTTTGCGCATCCGCAAAGCGATTAGCAAGGTTGGCTACATACGGTACGAGAGAAGTTCAACATACATACATGCATGAGTGTTATGTGGATCAAGCGGTATTAGTGAGGAGCGGCAGTGTAGTGCTTAACGCACCGCGTCACCCGCGTTCGATTCCTGCCCACAGTCAACATCCGTGGAAAATATCTGAACTCGTCCTGGGCCTCAACCTAGGTTGACTCAGCCTTAAATGACGACGTGTTGCGATGTCGTAAAACATTAGCAATGGGGGAGAGGCGGGCGGGTGTGGTGCTGGCCACCCACCCCCTCGAGTGTCGGTTCCGGCCTTCATCGGTGCTGCTACACCCTAACAGCACTTTCCTCCAACACAGTGGCGAGATGTTGACTACCTCGCCTGGTATACAGGAGGTCTTGGGTTAGATCCCAACCCTGACACCTCTATATTTGGAGTTTGCATGTCTCTCTCCCAGTGGTTGCATAGATTTTTCTCCGGGTCCTGCAGTTTTTTCTCTCCACGTGATAAGTCACTTCGTTGAGCTATCATTTTACGCGTAGGCTTAGCTACCAATATTATCCATAATAGAGGTTTTGTTGGGTTAGATCGCGTAAATATAAATGTGTCGTTATACCCACCACCGCCCGACACAGACAATTTGTAAGGTTTGTCACGTAAAAAAAACGTGTCAATTAGTTACTAGTTCAGCACACGGGTGTGTTAGAGAGTAAACCCACAACATTTATAATTCGAGTCCGCGATCTATTACGAATAAAAATCGTTCAGTTAAGTTTAAAGGCCCCACGGTGGGCAGGGTTCAGGGGGACCATCGTGTTGGTGGTCGTGGCGGTAGAGGGGGTGGTTGTGCGTCGTACCAGGCACGCAGCGAGCCGCCTGCCCGCTCCAGCGGCCCGTGCGGAGGCACGTGCGCCGCGCGCTGCCCGTCTGCTGGTACCAAGCGGCAGGGCAGCGGAACTCGAGCCGCGCGTGTACCGGGTAGAAGCCGGGGGCCAGCGCGCTCTCGTTGGCGCCCGCAGACGCCGCCGCCGGCGCCATCGCTGCCGCCTCTGGCTCCAGCGCCACCTTCTTAGCCCCCTTCTTCGGAAAGAGAACTCTCTGCACCGGTGTGGTCCTGATGGGGAACCATCATCGTCATCATCGTCGTCGTCACTGTAGCGCAGTGTTCTTCACTAATTTTCAGAGGGGCGCCGCGTGAGAGGCCACCAGGGGCTGCCAGTGGCTCTCGGGCCTTGCCATGAAGAACGCTGATCTAGCCATTATCATAACGCGAATGGATGGGCCGAGATGCAGAGTGTCTGCTGCTTGTTGCAGAGGTTCACGGTTCGAACCGTGCGGCTGCCCCGGTCAACACTGCGGGTGTGTTAACCGCTCACGCCACGCGCTCCACGGTCGATGTTAGAGCTCCCGTGATGTTAGGGCCTTGTGTACTGGTGTAATGGTCCAAATGAGACACATTTCTTAAATTTGGAGAGAAAAAGTTACAGTGACATGGCCCCTACTGGCAGTAGACTATATAAATGTGCAAGACGGTGCTGCACATTCCTTGCATCGCAAAGGCACGGATTCTGCTGGGCATCCCCGAGGCTATATCACTGCAGGGCAATGAAACTGTTTAGATGAGATGTGACATGTACAGTAAAATCTTGGATTGCGAGCATAATTCGTTCCGGAAACGTGTTTGTAATCCAAAGCACTCGTATATCAAAGCACTCGTATATCAGTTGTGATCACGTGACGCTCGGCAGACAAAGCGTAAACACGTACTACTCGTATTGCAAGACCTCGCTCGTTTATCAAATTAATATTTATTTTTTTATTTGCTCGTCTTGCAAAACACTCGCAGACCAAGTTACTCGCAATCCAAGGTTTTACTGTAAGTCCCTTTGAGATGCTTGAGGCGTTTAAACGTCCGACAAAAACAAAATCGTAATAAAAATCGATTACAGACTGCGCCAATGACATGCTCATCGTGCGTGACGTCAGTCAACTTTAAGGATGTCATCGATCATCAGCTATTAATCCTCAATTAATCTCTCAATTGTCATCAATAATCAGAATATAACCATCACGGTCCTGATCTCAGTTGTTGATCGATAATATCATTGTCAATCGTCACCACCATCATCATGCGTGGCCAACAATTGTGTTAATAATAATTTACATGTATTTGTAAGGAGCCTTCCACTAACGTCTCAAAGGCGTAAGAATAAAGATAAGGAAAGGTCAAGAGGGACGGAGAAGCTAAATAGAATAAACTGACTTAACAATACGTGGTTTTAAGACGAGACTTAAGATTATCCACATTATCAGAGAAACGAATTTCACAACGCGAGGGAATTCCACAACCGTGGCACAGACACAACTCAATGCCCCCCCACTCCACGCCAGGAACGCAGCCGGGATCGAGGTTCGCACAGAAGGGCAGAATCTGGAGATCTCAAGCAGCTTGAGGGGGTGCACGGATGAATATTTTTCATCACGAGTCATCAGATACCACCATCGTCGTCGTCATGAATCAACACTTCCGTGATCATGTGTTGTTTTCATCAATCATTGAGATCGTTTCCATTCATCATCATCATTATGTTGTTTAGGCGCAAGCACTTGCTACATTAACCTGTTCAAAACGATATTTCGTGACTGATGCACATTCATTTACAACCACATTAATAAAATTAACATCGCAATTAGATATTCGATGGGTCTTTCGGTAAAGCCACGTAGGTAAAAATGACTCTCTCACCTGAAGACGATTGCTTGTGTTGCGATGGAAATGTCGTGATATTTTTTATTATTTTTCTATCTACGTGGCTTTACCGAAAGACCCATAGAATATGTATTCATGCAGTCACGAAAGCTTTAAGTCACGATAGAGCAATTAAAATATATTTTGCAAAACACCGTGTCTTTTAATTGCTGTGATGCAAAAAAGTGCCATTTAGAAATAAAGGAAAAATATTACGTTGCAAAAATATATATATTTTTAAAAAATATGACTTTAACACAATTGTTAAATACTGTAGATCACTCTCCAACAGCAATACATTGGCACCTTTGTATCATGTGATAAATTTAACTTGTTGGCTGCTACGGTTGGAAGGGAGAATTTGCGACACACATTTTATTTTTGCGATCTGACCCCCCCCCCAAAAAAATGTATTATGAATGTTTTGTTAAAATCTACCTCTGTTTGGTCGGTCTCGGCTTCATCAGAACAAACGTCATGGGAGGTGGGACGTGTGGGAGCCTGCAAGCTGACTCACACACACAGCACAGACAAACACAAAGAGCCCCCTGTCGCCTTAAAACAAATGTTGGGGTAGTGCTCTTTGCCAGTACCTATCAAGGACAAAGATCCCCCGTATAGCCTTAACAGGCTGTTGGGTCAAGTGCTGTTTGTGAGCACCTATGAAGGCCGGTATGGCACACGAGGTGGTGGGTGGCCAGCACCACGCCCGGCCGCCTTTGTCTCCCCAGGTACTCATTGGAGGCTGAGTTTACCTAGGGGAGACCCAGTACCAGTTCAGATAATCGCCGCTGGTGTTGACTGTGAGCGGGAATCGAACTCGGGCCGCCGGGTTCGTAGCACAGTGCGCTAACTGCTGTGCCACTGCTCCCCAACTCACGCGGAAACTCACACACACGCGTGCATGACAGAATACCCGGCGAAAAACGATGATGCGAGTCAATCGCTCCCAACACACAACGTGGTGGCCTCGACGTCGGCACTCTCGCCGCTGAAGAAATCCATCTGCACGGAGTTATTGGTTCCATTCCCACGACGGCCACCAACCCAGTTGCTTGCGTGCATCTGTCAACACTTGCGATGAGTACGGTTGGCTACGTACAGTGCGAAAGAAGTTCAACATACATACAACTGTGTTGTGGATGCTACGGTTCCGACCAATAGCTGCACACAAAAACTACCCTGGGGGGAGAGTTTATTTCGTACGTTTGTATGTTGAACTTATTTCGTGCCGTACGTAGCCAACCGTGCTAATCGGAGGTGTTCTTGTTGGTTAAAGCCCTGAGTAATTCGTGGGAATTCCACGTTCATATGGCCGGGGGCAAGTATTTCCATAAGTCCAAAGGACAACCGCTGTAATCTTCCCAAAGGGCTGATTCACGGATGGGATGTGAACCTGCAACCACTCAAAACTGTGCCGTTGCAAATTATTAATTCCGATTAATTTGGCTTAATGTCAGCTCTGAGCGCAACAAAAATATGAATCTCTGAAATGGATGACTGACAGGTGCTGGATCACTCTCTTGGGAGGATGTGGGACATATTTCGCTGGGCCAGAGAGGCCTCACGGTGAAGCAGAAGTCCGAATTATAAAGCACGTAGAAGTCAGTGCAGTGAGTTGCAAACGCAAGCCATCGACTCGTGTGTCGTCACCTTCTGAAGTGGCTTCCCTGACCCGATGTTGATGCTCTGCTGACTGAGGGAGCTCTGAAACGTGCGTTTAGAGTATTTGGCTGCTATAAACTTCCACGTGATAAGCCACTTCGTGAAGCTATCATTTGTGTGACAGGTTGCTTCTGAAAAAATAGCTATACAGCTCATTGGGCCTTACCTGGCAAAATAGAAATAGTTTTTAAGAATCATGGGTGGCGCTCACGACACGATTATCGCGGTCGTTGCTCCATACGCCGCGAGGGTGGTGCGTCTCCGCGTCACCGACACGCATTTCGAATTGCCCCGTTCAGACATCGCCGCCGGCCCCACGGCTGCCCGGCTTTCCGCGGTTCAAATACGCAACCTGGGGCCCCCCGGCGCGGCTCGGCGGCACGGCGGAAAGAAAAAAACAAGAGGCGACGGTTGCCGAAGCTCCGGAGCTCTCTCACCTTTGACGCAGGCGGCCGGGCGCCCCGTCCACGCCCCGTTGACCCCGCAGGTCAAGTCCCCGCCTCGGCCCTGCCGCACGTAAGGGGGCCGGCACACCACGTGCAAGATGCTGCCCGCCCGGTAGCCGCCGGCGCCACCGGTGCCGCCGGTGCCGCCCTCCTCGGCCGGCGCGCTCGTGTTGCGGTCGACCTGCCCGTTGCGGGGAAGCCGCGGCTCTGGGCAAAACTTCTCCTCCTCCACTGCGAGAGGCGCAAACGAAAACGCGAGCGACTGTGAACACGTTGGCGGCGGCGGGTGGGGTGGCGGTGGTGAAGTGGCGGCACAGCGGTTAGCGTGCGACGCTATCCACCGAGTGACGTAAGTTCGATGGTTGACATGACAGCTGAATGGTGGCTCACTGCTTTTGAGCCGATTAGCACGGTTGGCTACGTACGATGTGAAAGAAGTTCAACATACATACACATGAATATATTTGTTAGTGGTGGGTTTTGTTGCGATGATGCATGGCTGTAATGCAGGGTCTCCTGCTGGTTTAAAACGCCAAATAACCATAGCTGCCAAAGCAGTCAATATCACTGTGACTGGCGCTGATTTGTAAAAAATATATATTTTTTACCGCAAGACGGAATGGGGATGTCCCAGGTCCCATCGAGCTGACAAACAGCTGAGACGTTGCCCTGGAGAACGAAGCCTCCGTCACAGCTGAAGAACACCTGGTCCCCGAGGCCAAAGTCCTCCCCTTCGATCTTCAGATTTCGCGGAAGCTTGGGTCGTCCGCACATCACCACTGCCACGTGGGGGGAGGAGAGACGCGGCGTTGCACCGCGGCCATCAACTTCACACAGAGCGAGCCACCTCGGAGGTGCGGTGTCACCTGTGCAATGGGCTGAGGGGCCTAGCAGAAGGAAGCGACGATGAGGTGTGGTGGCATCGATGGCTTGGGGCCCTGATGACCTCTTGACCTTGATTTTCACTGAGTCGGACTCTCAGCATGGAAGACGCTAGTTGTGGAGGAGAGCCGAAGGATTGCGTCTCATCAAGTCAAGCCAAAATGTCTCCCTGCTCAAACGATAATTTTTTAATCTGAGCTCGTCTCTGTCAGGTGACCCTAAGCCAGTGATGGAAAAATTCCACATTCCTATGGTCAGTGCCGGTATATCAATTAGGCCAGCCAACACATTGAACTTCCACAAAGTGGTACTCACTCTGCGGACCCCCAGAGGAAAGTGGGCTTGAGTCACATCGTTGATAATTTAAAACTGTGCTTTAAAGATGTAATTTCAAAAGGTGACAATGCTACATGCAATCTCCCTTTGGTCAAAAAGAGCATCGCATCGGAGAATGCCCCGAGAAAATTACATCACGCAACTACTCTTGGAATCACTTCAACATAACTCTCTCACCCACCCACTGCATGATGCTCCCTCACGCTCAGCAGGACTGATTTCACCGCATGCGAATCATATGATACGTTAACACTCGCTAACTCTCACCGGTGGCCAAGATGAAGTGAGCGGCTTTTGGCTCGCCATGGAACAAGGACAGTCGCCACATCGCGTGCTTTCAGAAGCGCTTCTGCAGGCCGTTTGGAATTCTCTTCCTTCCGATGTTAGGAAGCAACTGGAGCCATGCACTATTAAATCTATATTTAAAACGAATTTCTTTAGAGCAGTTTTTTGTGTTTATTTTGTTGTCCTTCAATTAGTACAGTTGGCTACGTGCAGTGCGAAAGAAGTTCCACATACATGCAGATAGTGCAGTACTCGGTGACCTGATTGAGACCATAAACTCACGAAGCAATGGGTGTCTGCCCCTGATTGGAACCCACGGAGCACTTGGCTACCTCTTTCGACTGCGCAGGCCGTGATGATGAATTCGGATGGCCAATGAACAGCAACTGTTACAGATTCAGTTCTAAGTGATTTAACCTTTCAATTGCCTTGTCGGAGAGGTGGTGAATTAAAAAATGTCTATATTTGGGTAAGTACGAAAGTCCATGGTTTTGGTATTTGTAGCCGCATACAGCATAGGGAGGCAATTTTCCACTTATTCATCAAGAATTCACTGCATCTTCCGTGGTCAGTGCAGATGTAGTTAAGTGCTACCCATTGTTTCTGTGGGAGATTGAAGCCTGCCAGTGGCCTCACTTATATATACGGCATTTTTCTATTTTATGGCAAGCTTTAATACCACTAAGCACTCACAGCAACATGACTTTTCTTTCCCCTATCATCCTGCCGGTTGTGTTAATGCGTTAATGTCCTGGCTATGTATTGAAATGGTCTAAGAGGAGCCTACCTCTCTCACAGAACGAGCCCGTGTATCCCGCCAGACAGAAGCATTTGAAGAGCGTCGAGTTGTCCAGAACACACGTCCCATCGTTCTGGCAGGGCGAGGACAAACATGCTGGGAAAAGGGGCGACCGCAAACAATCGTGTCAAAGAGCTGTTTCGAGCAACTTGCAATACAACAAACTCATTGTGCGTTGTTATGGAACATCGTATGCATGTATGTATGAGTAGTGAGTCACTTCTGAGACACTACTAGGAGGAGTCAACACACGTTTATTCTACACTCTTAACACTGTTCACACACGGGATAACTATGAACGGGTCAGAGCAGCCGCCACGCTGTCTGACCCACGACGCCGGAGACGAAGACGTAGCCCGTTGGGTTCCACTCCACCGACAGACAGCCCCTATCCAGCCTCGGGACTTCCCTTTTATGCCCCCCGGCGTGGCCTGGCTCCGCCCTCGGCCACGCCCCCTTCTGGAACCCATCAGAAGGTTATGGGCTATACCTCACGTGTCCCCTCGGTCACCTTTGCCCAACATCCTTAACCCTGGCTTATCACGTGCTCCACCAGCCGGCTGGGGTGCCACATCCTCATATGCGCCCTTCTGCCAGCAGCTAGCGCCACGCACCCTCGTGAGCAACTCCGTGGCATTGCTCTGCTGGCAGAACGGCTGCCACACGCTGCTCTGCCGGCAGAACGGCCGTTATGCCCACATTCTCTCTCTCTCTGTCAGTAACCAGCGCTACGTGTCATAGTGACCCATTCTATGTCACTACATATGTACGGTGAACATTTTTCACACCATAGCCTAATCGGAGGTGTGGGGGAAGGACAACAACACTAGACGCAAAAAGCAGTTCTAACAAAACGAGTTTTGAATCTAGATTATTTAAAAGTGCGTAGCTCCGGTGGCTTCCTAATATCGGAAGGAAGAGCGTTCCAGACGGTTGCAGGAGCGCATCTGAAAGCAAGCGAGGGTAATGTATGTATGTTGAACTTCTTTCGTAAAGTATATAAACGAGCACCCATCTCTTACTGCATGCAGTGTACAATAACAAAAAACAGCTGCCGTTTGCCACTAAGTCGTGGTGACATCACCACAGCGCTTGTGCCAGGCTAGGTGCACTTTGAGGCCACGTCAAGTGTCCAAGGCTCACTGAGCATCGTATGGAGTGACAGACCAGGTAGCTTCTACACAGCGTTACCCAGAAGATAAAAATATAATGCCGTTTGACTTATTCGGAGTGAGACTTCTATTTACGAACCGTAACTAGTCATAAGCACATTGTCCAGGTGTGGGAATTCCTCCACTCTCACCACCAGTGTCCCATCACTCATGGGGAGTTGAAGGCGTGGAGTAATCGATGACTTCGGTTGCGAGAAGTTAACTGCCTCGCCTAGTATACAGGAGTTTGTGGGTTCGATCCCGACTCCTGTATATTTGGAGTTTGCGTGTTCTCTCTCGCCGTGGTCGCATGGATTTTTCTCCAGGTCCTCTGGTTTTTCCCTCCACATTTAGAAACACGCATTTAGAGCATTCGGTTGCTATACATTTCCACGCACTTATCCACTTCGTTGAGCTATCATTTGTGGCCAGGTCACTTCTGAAAAAGAGCAATTTAGCGCAGTGAGCGTAACCTGGTAAAGTAAAAAAAAAAATGTATAGTTCAAGTAACATACGGTATGTTCCCTGCATGCACACGCATGCAGGCAAGCATGCAAAACGTACGTGACTAATCATGTGTGAGGCTAAGATTTTGGCGGTTACAGAAATGGTGAATTATTTGAAGTCTTTGAAATATTAAAATTGTATGTACGTCGTTGGGGGGGGGGGGGGGGGGGGGGTTAGGGAAGGAGGGGGGGAAATGCCATCCAATGGGGGAGGGGCGGCACCACCCCACAGCATTCCGTGACCTTTTCGTGGATTATTGTGGGTTCTTTTTTTGCTCCGGCACCTCGACCGTGAATTATACTCAAACTTACTGCTGCCCAAAATTGTAGCCTCGATTACGAATCAAATTTAAATTGACTTTGTTATGTAATGAGTTCGCTCTGCAGTTGGCGAAATGGATTTTTCCTGAGCAGCAAGGGCAAGGTGCCAAGACGTGGGCATGAAAATGCTGCTCCAACCTATTACTCGTAATTAGCTTAAGAACGCAAATACACTAAAAATAGTTTCGCAAGCAGCGTGTGCGACAACTGTGGGTCGCTGAAAGTCACACAGCAGCTCATGTTGAGGATTCCTACGATTCAGTGTAATTGCCAAAGGCTCCAAAAGCCAAACTATGGGGTGCCACGGTAGCGAGGAGATGTTACCTTCCTCGCCTAGGTACGAAAGAGGGCGCGGGTTCGATCCTGTTGCATATTAGGGGTTTGCGTGTTCTCTCTCGTAGATTATTGGGCTGCTACTACTATAAATTCCCACAACTGATAGATATCAGCGACTTCGATGCGCCATCATGTGTGGCCAGGTCGCCTCTGAAAGGAGCTAATAGCTTAGTGGACTTTACCCGGTAAGTAAAAGAGGTTATAGCTTCAGTTCATGGAAGACTCTCGGAGCACTGGGAGGAATGTAGTAAGGCGTCCTGCGTCGTTGCCTTTTTGCACGCTGGTATCAGCCTTATTAAGGATCATCGCAACACAGTATAGCTGCTATGTTATCACAAATATATGTCGGTGTCACACTTAACATGAATCAGGTCTTCAGAAAGTAGATTAAAAAATACATCGTATATTTAGACAATAGAATGACGGACCAGTCTCTGATGGAGTCTCTAGACAATAGCCTGAAAGACCATTCTCTGATGGGGTAGGGGGGGGTCTCTAGACAATAAAGTGACTATCTAGGACGTAAATACCGACGTAGCCTCAAACCTCGACTCTTGGCAGCCTCGGAGAAGACGGCCGAGAAGCCGTCGAAGCTCTTGAAGCCGTCCGCCTGGAAGAGGAGGTGCAGCGAGGAGCCCGAGGAGCGGGTCGGCGCCGGGCGGTTGTTCCCGCAGAAGCGGCCGATGACGGGCGAGTCGACGTTGTCGCCGTCGCGCACCTCCAGCACGTCGTACTGGCACGAGTAGTCGTGCTCCAGGCTCAGCATGGCGAACCTGCCGGCGACCGCCACCAACTGTCAGGACCCCCCCCCCTCCATGCGGCCGAGCAGCCCGATTGTCTTTACTGCCAAAAGCAAAGCGTTGTTCCAAAGGCAAAGCGTTGTTGCATAGCCTGGGAGCTGCGCTGGCGAAAAAACGGCCGACCACCCCTGCGGGAACAGAGCCGTGACCTCGGAGTGCTTAGAAGAAGGCGGTCCGAAGGATCTCAAGGACCTGGCTGAAGTCTAAAAATGGATCAGTTCCTGCAAATGTTGTGGGTCTGATCCATTGGGTGCCTTGTCGGTCAGCAGCGGGATCTTAATAGAGCACACGATACTTGACTGGTAGCCAATGCAAAGACGAGGGAGCTGGTGTGTGATGTGCTCGCGAAACGGCGTGCGTGTAAGGACTCTCGCAGCTGCATTCTGAGCAAGGTGGAGTCTACCCGGCACCTTAGTCGGAATCCCGAACAGTAATAATGTGTATTCTTGGGTCTTTCGGTAAAGTCACGTAGATAGGTTCAAAGAAAATAACAAAAAATCTATCTACGTGACTTTACCGAAAGACCCAAGAATATGAATTCCTGCCGTCACGAAAGCTTTAAGTCAACATTTAGTAATGATGCGTTGCAGTCATTAAGGTGGGTCAGCAAGAGAGCATGGCCCGGGTTCTCTAAGTCATTAGGTGGCCGGAATCAACGCAGGTAACTGTTTAAGTTACATCACCTGGTTCGGTAGTTGACTTCCACCCCCACTTTGCCAGTCTACCCAGCAGTACAAATGGGTACACAATAGTGAGTCGATTTACAGGCCACTTTTGGTGGGGTAAAGTGTGGATAGATTGAAAACGAATTCTTTCAAACCGCTTTTCGCATATAGTTTGTTGTCCTGCACCACGCACCTCTGATTAGCACGGTTGGCTACGTACGGTGCGAAAGAAATTCAACATTACATACGTATGCCTCTTTCTGCTAAACTTCCACTGAAATTCTTGACTTGTCCCTGTCCTTTCAAAACCGGTAATCGAATCTGTGGAAATGGTTATCGGGTTTTTATCGGTTTTTATCGGTTACCGGATGCGTTACCAACCCTTGTTTACTCCGGGCTGTCGCCAGTCGCTCTCACCGTAACTCGACCACGTGTCCAGGCCGCACGTTGATGACCCACTCGCAGTGGGCATTGGTCGGGTAGCCCTGGAGGCTTATGGTGCCCTTGGTGCCGTTAATAACACCTCCGCATTCTATTGAAACGACACGACATCCAACAACCACGACACTCATTCAAATAATGTGCTGACGAACCGTGCACTTATGATGTTACATTCAGGAATGAAGTCAGAATTTGATCAATACATTAAACTAAACTATTTTTATTTTACCAGGTAAGACCCCATTGAGCTCTTTAGGTATAATAAGCATAGGCGAAGTTTGACTTCTATATTTGGTGGGGGGCATTGGTTTTGCTTTGTTCCTCACATTAGGAATCGCGGGTGCATATAATTAATTTATCTTTTATCTTAATTGTAAACGGCCGACAATAAATTAATAAAGGTGTCCAGTTCAAGGGTGGCACTGCCACTACCCCCCCCACCCCACCCCCAAATCTCTGCCCATTCTTGCCGGTGAAAGGCGGTAACACTCACATCAAGGGCACTAATCGCCATGTTTCCATCTCATGCACTATCCCGGCCAAAGCCGTGCTTAGCTCCTGTGATGTGACGCGATCGGGTGCACTGCAGGTGCGTTCTTTTGTCACGGGCGCATGAAAAATGCCAAGCGCATGTTGGACAACGAGGAAACGTCTTGCCGTTTAATCGACGTCTACCGGATCCTCCTCCGCCGCCTCGCTTACTTACGCATGCAGTTTCCACCCGACCATCCATCCCCACACACGCCACAGTAGTCGCCCTTCACGTAGAACGTGTCGAAGGTCCCCCAGGATCCGTTGAGGCACGTCCTGCAGTTCTCATAAATGCTGCAGCCTGCGAACACAGCGGTCACCGCGGCGGTAACCCGGTAAACACGGAGCGTTGGGACCAACGGTGGGCCAATGGTTCTGACCGCATGGCAGCGTTGCGCGGTTCACGGGGAAGTGAGCACGCTTTGGCGTTTCACGGCCATGCCCAGAACATGCGTGGAATTCACGCTTTTGTAGCTCACACCTCTGCACGTGAGCTTTCCCTTGTACGCGACAGTACGACGTTACGTGTACAGTATGTATGTTGAACTTCTTTCGCACCGTACGTAGCCAGCTGCACTGATAGGTTGGCTACCAATGAACTGATCAATTAACTGCCCACACCCAGCGCATTATTTGTGCACGGTGCAACTGTGGTGGTGAGCGGGGTCGCAGTGGTTAGTGCACTGTGCTACAAAACCTGACTCACTCGAGTTCGATTCCCGCTCATGGCCAATAATAGTGGCGAATATCTGAGCCGGTCCTGGACCCCTTCCGCAAGGTCGACCCAGCCTTAGTGGTGCAGTGTGTATACGACACAGGTATTTGGGAGACAAAGGTGGCCGGGCATGGCGCTGACCACAAAACCCCCTCATGTTATCCACGCTATTCTTCTGTTATCCGCAATTGTTTTTCCGATTGTGGAGTAAATTCGCAGACGAACCCTGCGGATTATGGGATCCGTGATATTGGTCTTGCAACACATCACCACGGATAAAAGCATTTTTTTCCTGCTGCACAAAGGGCCGGACTTGACCCCCTGACCCGGATGTGAACCCGCAACCTCTTAATTGCGAGCTGTGCCGCCCTAACCACAGCGCCTCGTGGCCAGTCACATTCCACAGTTCACCTTGTAAATGAACCTCTGTCGCAGTACGTACACACGCACACGCACATACAAACATCACGTAAAAAAAGGAGAGTCACTGACCCAACCTCCCAGCCCCGTGCGCGCGGATTACATCTCGCACTTAATGGCACCTATTAATCACACGTGGTAACGGGGTCAAACGGCCGTGCCCGCTGGCCTACAAATGAGTTCCTTCAAGCACAGAATGTGCATCGTGATTGCACCTCGGCGCAAAGTCGCGTGTTAAACGGCGTCGGTGGCAGATGCAATTTGAGATTCAGATCAAATACATTCTGCTCTCGTGATTTTTTTATTTTATTTTACATGCCCAGATGTTAAATCGGCAAAATCTAAGCCACTGTGTGTTAATTTTACCAGCGTGCGTTTTTTGTTTTACCATTTGCCCCCGTCTTTGCTGACCTCTGTAGAATGAAGATTTTCAGAGATGCATGGTTTCATTTTACCTGGCCGAAAACATTGGACTTAAGTAACAGGACTTGAGTATACGTAGCCTCTCATGAACATGTAATAAAGCTAATGGTGAAAAAACTTGCAATCCCGACAGAGCCCCTTTATAGGGAATTTTGGCCAATTTCAAACTGTGCAGACGTCTTGGAAGAGTTGGGAGTGCCAACATTTACCTCACCACACGTGACCTGCGCATCGACTACACTGACGTGTATCGACTGATTATACTACTGAGGGATTTAAGCAACTTTTCCATTGTGGATCACAAGTGCTGATCCCTCACAGCCACTATCAAAAGCAGTGGCGGCTCCTGCAAAATCTCTCAGGGGGGGCAAATGTCTGGATGATTGATAAGGATAAGGTCCACCCATGCAATGGATAAATTAACAGCTTAAGCATGTAAAGGCAACTTCACTTCTTTAATATTAATGAAAAATAAAGTGACTCTTACAATACATCTTGTTTGTTTCTATACTCACTATTAAAACAAACCACTCAAGTTTATTTTATTAAAGATTCCACTCGGTGGCGATAAATTATATTGTTGGATGAAACGTGCTTACGTATGATGACGTAAGCACGTATGATGACGTAAGCACGTTAGTGCATGCCCTCCCGGAAGCCATAGAGAATGCATTGGAGCGCCCCCCGGTCGAAAAAAAACATCTTTGAATGTAAGTCTATGGGGCCACTCGGGGCGATTCTCAGCCGGAGTGAAATCGCCCAAAAAGAGGCGGTACTCCACAGAACGTGACATGACGCTGATTGGACTATATCCAGAGGCTGACAGTGACGGCTAGCGTGACTCTGTGGTTCAATGACATTGGTGGTGCGTCGCCCAATCGCCCTAATGAAGAAACCGCCCCTGATCAAAAGACAACTATCCCACTTGTAGCCTTAACAGACTTGTGGGGCAAGTGCTGTTAGCGAGCACCTATGAAGGCTGGCACGGCACACGAGGGGATGGATGGCCAGCACCACAACTGGCCGCCTTTGACTCCTTAGTGGCGATGTTTACACACTCATTTGAGGCTGAGTTAACCTAGGGGAGGCCCAGAGCCGGTTCAGATAATCATCACCGGTGTTGGCCGTGAGCGGGAATGAACTCGAGTCGCCGGGTTCGTAGCGCAGCGTAGCGCTAACCGGCACACTACAGCCATTATCAGGATCTCACAAAGCCGCATCAGATGGATGGCATTGTGAGACGCATGCAACATAACTAACCAACAACCTCTGCGCTGACCCAACAGCGGAGTCCCTGGCTTCGACCACCATCTAAGACAGTGGACAGCACTCAACCGAATCCACTCAACGGGACACGGACCATGATGCGGCCACCTGCTTCACGAGTGGAAGATGAGGGAATGTGGACCCCAAGGGTGCGACTGTGGCCACGAGTCCCCGAACCACTGTGCGTGGAACGTATCGCATCGACCTGCCCCGCGCTCAGATCTGTTGCGGGAGGCGCTTCATGATCTCCGCTCAGAGTCTCGGCAAGCCGCTGAGTGGATCGCCAAACTAGATGTCCCATTGCCAGCCTTTCCCATCGCACGAAAGAAGAAGTGGCCAGGAGGCAGAGCCATTCCCTATTCACATTGGCTTGTGGCAGGGATGTCCTCTGGCTCCTACAGTCTTAAACACAAAAGCAAAGAAATCGTGGAAAACTATCGTTCTCATTTACCACTGGTTGAGCTAAAGACCCGTGTGAGATCTGGATAAAAAATGAACTAAAACTTGATATCATGCCGTGCCATTTACACGAGGTCTCACAAGCACCGCTAACAAACCCCTAATGACTAAAACCCGAATAAAACCCTCAACAAATAAAAATGAATAGAACTGAGAAGGATAAAACGCACAAAACCTACACAGAATGGAGGGTACGCGAGTGAAAACAGATTCTGAGAGTCCCGAAGGTTCTGTAGAAGAGCATTGGGTCCCCAGACGGGGAGAAAACTAAAACGTATATATTTTTTTTACCAGGTAAGGCCCCGCTGAGCTAGGTAGCTATTTTTCAGTATTAACCTGGCTATCACAAATGATAGCTCAACGAAGTGGCTTATCACGTGGAAATCTCTAACAGCGAAAATTCTCTAAACGCATATTGATTGTAAATGTGGAGCGGAAAAAAACCTGGAGGACCTGGAGAAAAATGTACGCTACCACAAATTCCAAATATACAGTCGTTCGGGTCGGGATCGAACCCACGACCTCCTGTATACCAGGCAAGGGAGTTAACATCTCGCCACTGAGGAGGAGACAGCCTGCTGCTGAAGGCTCCATCACTCATTCGTCTCAAGACAAGGAAGCGAGATGTCGTGAGGATGGATGCAAAATACCCTAAGCAGGACCCTTGCAGACTCAGTGAAGCATTACATTTGGAGTAATGATTTTGCACCTCTTTTAAACTAGATTCTGTAATATAAATTCACTTTCTTCTCTTTCACTAAATGCCAGGAGGACACGTGGAATGGTTTAATTTTCCCACCATAAATGGGGCAGATTTTTTGTTTGTTCAATCCACTCATCGGCTCTTAATTAACCAAGGTTAAATCTCGGGAATTTACGTTCCAATTTTAACCAATAGGCATGACTGCATTACATTTCAGTAAAAAAAAAACGTGACAGTTTAGTTTCAAACTTAATGTGTCATTCTAGTTTCTGAATGCTATTTCTCTGCAGCATACGTTGATTATTTGTGAAAGCTAAAAACCCAGTCCAGTTGTTATGCAATCTGGAAACTTAAAAGATATCAGACAGATGGTTAAGCGGTCAGCCAGCCCAGTCACCAATTACTGCACACAAACAATCTTATTTAAAGAAAGCGTTTTCAATTAATTTCACATTTAAGCTCTGGGAATTTTGTTTGTAGTTCCTTATTTGACAGCCGTGTGACTGAACATCTCTCTCGGCAAGAGACGTGGACATGGCGCAGCACTCCCCGCGTGGATCCGAGGTCACCCAGAGGGACCTCGGAGGTAGTTCCTCGGAGCTCTCACAGGGCGGCAGCGAAACATCAAACTCGAATTGTAAATGTGGATTTACTCTCCAACACACCCCTGTACTGGAGTATAAAATAGCTATGTCCACGTATACGTATACACAGCAGCTATATAGACGAATATATGTGTAGTGATTCTGTCACAATCGAAAATAATCACCCGACGGTATGAACACTGTGTGTGTGACAGGGACAGTCAGGAGGTCAAGCACACTGTGTGTGTGACACGGGCAGTCAGAAGGTCAAGCACACTGTGTGTGTGACAGGGGCAGACAGGCGGTCAAGCACACTGTGTGTATGACACGGAGAGTCAGGAGGTCAAGCACACTGTGTGTGTGACAGGGACAGTCAGGAGGTCAAGCACACTGTGTGTATGACACGGAGAGTCAGGAGGTCAAGCACACTGTGTGTGTGACAGGGACAGTCAGGAGGTCAAGCACACTGTGTGTATGACACGGAGAGTCAGGAGGTCAAGCACACTGTGTGTGTGACACCGACAGTCAGGAGGTCAAGCACACTGTGTGTGTGACAGGGACAGTCATAAGGTCAAGCACACTGTGTGTGACACGGACAGTCAGGAGGTCAAGCACACTGTGTGTGTGACAGGGACAGTCAGGAGGTCAAGCACACTGTGTGTGTGACACGGACAGTCAGGAGGTCAAGAACACTGTGTGCGTGACACGGACAGTCAGGAGGTCAAGCACACTGTGTGTGTGACAGGGACAGTCAGAAGGTCAAGCACACTGTGTGTGTGACATGGACAGTCAGGAGGTCAAGCACACTGTGTGTGTGACACGGACAGTCAGGAGGTCAAGCACACTGTGTGTGTGACACGGACAGTCAGGAGGTCAAGCGCACTGCGTGTGTGACACGGAGAGTCAGGAGGTCAAGCACACTGTGTGTGTGACACGGACAGTCAGGAGGTCAAGCACACTGTGTGCGTGACATGAACAGTCAGGAGGTCAAACACACTGTGTGTGTGACACGGACAGTCAGGAGGTCAAGCACACTGTGTGTGTGACATGGACAGTCAGGAGGTCAAGCACACTGTGTGTGTGACACAGACAGTCAGGAGGTCAAGCACACTGTGTGTGTGACATGGACAGTCAGGAGGTGAAGCACACTGTGTGTGTGACACGGAGAGTCAGGAGGTCAAGCACACTGCGTGCGTGACAGGGACAGTCAGGAGGTCAAGCACACTATGTGTGTCACACAGACAGTCAGGAGGTCAAGCACACTGTGTGCGTAACACAGACAGTCAGGAGGTCAAGCACACTGTGTGTGTGACACGGAGAGTCAGGAGGTCAAGCACACTGCGTGCGTGACAGGGACAGTCAGGAGGTCAAGCACACTGTGTGTGTCACACAGACAGTCAGGAGGTCAAGCACACTGTGTGCGTAACACAGACAGTCAGGAGGTCAAGCACACTGTGTATGTGACACGGAGAGTCAGGAGGTCAAGCACACTGTGTGTGTCACACAGACAGTCAGGAGGTCAAGCACACTGTGTGTGTGACAGGGAGAGTCAGGAGGTCAAGCACACTGTGTGTGTGACACGGAGAGTCAGGAGGTCAAGCACACTGTGTGCGTGACACAGACAGTCAGGAGGTCAAGCACACTGTGTGTGTGACAGGGAGAGTCAGGAGGTCAAGCACACTGTGTGTGTGACACGGAGAGTCAGGAGGTCAAGCACACTGTGTGCGTGACACAGACAGTCAGGAGGTCAAGCACACTGTGTGTGTGACACGGACAGTCAGGAGGTCAAGCACACTGTGTGTGTGACACGGACAGTCAGGAGGTCAAGCACACTGTGTGTGTGACACGGACAGTCAGGAGGTCAAGCACACTGTGTGTGTGACACGGACAGTCAGGAGGTCAAGCACACTGTGTGTGTGACACGGACAGTCAGGAGGTCAAGCACACTGTGTGTGTGACATGGACAGTCAGGAGGTCAAGCGCACCGTGTGTGTGACACGGAGAGTCAGGAGGTCAAGCACACTGTGTGTGTGACACGGACAGTCAGGAGGTCAAGCACACTGTGTGTGTGACACGGACAGTCAGGAGGTCAAGCACACCGTGTGTGTGACACGGACAGTCAGGAGGTCAAGCACACTGTGTGTGTGACACGGACAGTCAGGAGGTCAAGCACACTGTGTGTGTGACACGGACAGTCAGGAGGTCAAGCACACTGTGTGTGTGACACGGACAGTCAGGAGGTCAAGCACACTGTGTGTGTGACACGGACAGTCAGGAGGTCAAGCGCACTGTGTGTGTGACAGGGAGAGTCAGGAGGTCAAGCACACTGTGTGTGTGACACGGACAGTCAGGAGGTCAAGCGCACTGTGTGTGTGACACGGAGAGTCAGGAGGTCAAGCACACTGTGTGACACAGACAGTCAGGAGGTCAAGCACACTGTGTGTGTGACACGGACAGTCAGGAGGTCAAGCACACTGTGTGTGTGACAGGGAGAGTCAGGAGGTCAAGCGCACTGTGTGTGTGACACGGAGAGTCAGGAGGTCAAGCACACTGTGTGTGTGACAGGGAGAGTCAGGAGGTCAAGCACACTGTGTGTGTGACACGGACAGTCAGGAGGTCAAGCACACTGTGTGTGTGACAGGGAGAGTCAGGAGGTCAAGCGCACTGTGTGTGTGACACGGAGAGTCAGGAGGTCAAGCACACTGTGTGTGTGACAGGGAGAGTCAGGAGGTCAAGCGCACTGTGTGTGTGACACGGAGAGTCAGGAGGTCAAGCACACTGTGTGTGTGACACAGACAGTCAGGAGGTCAAGCACACTGTGTGTGTGACACGGACAGTCAGGAGGTCAAGCGGACTGTGTGTGTGACAGGGAGAGTCAGGAGGTCAAGCACACTGTGTGTGTGACACGGAGAGTCAGGAGGTCAAGCACACTGCGTGTGTGACACGGACAGTCAGGAGGTCAAGCGCACTGTGTGTGTGACACGGAGAGTCAGAAGGTCAAGCACACTGTGTGTGTGACAGGGACAGTCAGAAGGTCAAGCACACTGTGTGTGTGACACGGAGAGTCAGAAGGTCAAGCACACTGTGTGTGTGACACGGACAGTCAGGAGGTCAAGCACACTGTGTGCGTGACACGGACAGTCAGGAGGTCAAGCACACCTTCTGGGTGGTGCTCAACGGGCCTGAAAGGAGATTGGTTGGGGTCAGGGAACTGAAGCGATTGGAGGAGACGTAGATAATGGAAAGATTGGAAAACGGAGGATGATTGACAGGGTGAAAGGTCGGAATCCGTTGGGAAAGGTGGAAGGTGATTGGCTGGAAGGAAAGCAGGTCAGGGAACCTTTGGGAAAGGGGCTTGAGGGATGTACGAAGGAGTTTTGGGATGGTTGGACTGAAGGAGGTCCTTCAAGACCGTGTCTCGTGCAGGAAGAAATAAAGACTCATGCTGTTGAAGACTGCCGTGTCGGGTTTTCACTACACAGGGGCACCGGGCAGAGCCGAGGGCCCCTGTGAGAGCTGCGAGCGGACAACTCCTTCACCTCGAGGCGTACACAGTCGTGGATTTCCTAACGTCGGACCACGGACATTTCCGATGACCCCCTCCCCCCGCCCGCCGCGTCGACCGCACCTGGGTGAATGATGCAGGGGTCGCACACGTCCTCGTCGTTGCGGCAGCAGGGCACGGAGTAGCCGGTGGGATCTCCGGTGCCGGGACACAGGCACTCGATCCTGCCCTCCTCGCAGCAGCCGCGGCACAATATGCTCCACTCGGCACCCGGGCAGGTGTTGAGCGTCACTGCATGCGCGGAACGTGGAGCAAAAAAAAACACACCGGACAATGTTTCTCGATGAACGCTAGCTGGGTGATGGTGAGAAGGAAACTGGGCACTGCTTTGGACACAACATGCAGGATGGACGGACAACAGGGAAAGATTTGATGTGTGTCACTGTTGTTCGTGGGACGAAATGTGCAGTGGACACCTACTGATGGGCTATCTGGCCATGGATCGCGACGATGGTGATGATGAGCGCTAGGCCTGTTATTAAAACCGTGCATTATCCTGCATTGAAGTACAACATCAACACCATGATCTCGGTACAAATCTATTGCTGTCATCCAAATACAGATGCCAATGTCCTGACTGTCCTAGTAAATTCCCAGACAGGCAGCACACCTATTACTTGCACAAATACTGTCGCTCCAACACGTGTTTATACATTTTTTCAGGACTATATAGTGGGTAGCAGAAGGTAGTGCAACAGAATGCGTTATTGTACAGTACGGTACGACATTTCTATGCTTCCGCATCCGTGTTCACCGCCTTCACCAACCCGTCACGACCAGCGTGGTGAAGTATGGTCAGATAACACGTGACTCGCACTGCGTGGGGAGGCCCGCATCCAGAAATGGAATGAAAAAACAGCCGCATATGCAAAAGTTTGCTTTTCAAATGCTCAAGTGTCAGAGGCTTGCAACGAAAGGTTTGATAAAAGCACATGACGCAGAGGCAAACGCGCACACAGCTGTGCCGGACTAAGCTAGTGCGGGGCCTGTAGCGTATGTTATAAGGGGCCCTAAATAAAATAAAAACACGTAAATATTAAAACACAATTTTAACTTGCATAGTAAAGTAATTGTATTTTTTTCATTTGCTACGCAGCCAGATAATACGACAAATCGCTAACCTTAAACAGCCAGTCGTTCATAGAAGTTGAAGGCAGTATAGTACTATAGTAATAGAGCAAGTGCAGAATCACAGAACCGGAATTGATAGCTTGAAAGCGTTTAGCGCGGGGCCCTTGAAAGTGCGCGGCCCGTAGTTACTACATATGTAGCTACTTTTGCTACTGGGATCATCCGGCACTGGCACACGGTGCGTTGTTGGGTAACGTTCTGCTCGGCCGGCTAATGTCATGTTGCAGTGCTGCGTGCCGTCGCTCGAAGTCGCATGGAGGCGCTACGGGAGTTGATGGGGACATGTCACTTAAGCCGAAAGCGGTCGTCACATTTCAACTATCAAGATATTCTAGATTTGAAGCTTTCGTGACTGCAAGGATTAATATTCTTAGGTTTTATCGGTAAAGTCACGTAGGTCAAAAAATTAAATTAATAAAAGTAAAATAAAAAATAAAATATGGTGCATATGGCGTGCCGCGTACAGAGACGCCTGCATGTCAACCAGTGGGGAGAAGACAAATCAGACATTGCTGATAAGACTGATAATTTAGTCTGGCTACGGGTGTGAGGCTAATGTATCAAATTAGAGTCGGGGGTCACGATGACAGGCATATGGTCCATTGCACTGCCGATATTTAATCGATTAGGCAAATCATTGCATGTGTCAAGTTTTAAACAATTACCAAACTTCTTTCACGAGACATTAAGCAAAATGATTGAAAAGTGTGATTCCATTTTCGGTATATGATACTGCACACATGCTCTGACACACAAACACACGCGCGCACACACACGCCAACGTACATACACACAAAAAACTTCTTATGGAATTTATTTTTTGGCCGGAGCAACAATCGCAACCATGTGTTTTCTCCCATTGCAAAAAAGAAAAAGAGTCAATCGCACTTGAAGGCTCTCCTCTAAGCGGGGCCCCCAGACTGCACACGTGTTTTTCCTGAAATAAAACACCGCACGCACACACCCACTGGTTACCAACACGGGAAAGACACTCATTAATTTCGGTGTGTACCTGTGCAAGCCAAGCACACAGCATCTGCGCACGCCAAGCTGTTTGCCCGTCTCACTTCACGAATTGGCTTTTAGGTTTTTTTTCTTTGTTTAATGTTCACGTGGGAATTAGTTTTTATCACTAATTATGTTCATTCGTGGATATGGCCATTAATATGCTCTTGGAATCCCATTATCATTCGAAGATTTATATCGTTGCAGGGAATTAGTCCCAGAAGATGATACGGCGGAAATACGTTTGGGCTCATTCCAAGAGGCGTTTTCTTATCTTAAGATTACAGGATGCCGCTTTCCTGCCCCGTAATGATTCAGTTCAGCACATGTTTAGTCATCCAATACGTTGACAAATTGAACTCCAGAGTCGTTGTTGATCGTGTCGAGACCATTGTCTCCACTAAACGTGAGAACTTTGGGGCTTCACAACCCCAAACTATCGGCACCATAGAATTATTTTATGAAATGTGCAAATTTTTTGGCTGTCTATCCCTCTCTAGGAAACAAAAGTATAATCAGTTTCTAATGCACTATTATTAGATGTTTTACTGTGCAAAATGTTCTGTCTGGGTTAAAATTCCAGTTGGAGGGATGACCAATACAATAAATACCTCTTAGTGGTTCATTAACAGTGTTTCTTTTCCAAAAGACTGGCCCCTGCTTTAGGAATGTGGAATCTTCACGACAGGATCATCGCTGCCTGCAGAATGAATGCCCAACAACCCGGTGAAAGACGATTCCATTGAACAATGCGCATTACTTTCCTTTTCTAACGTATGTTGATTCCGAATTCGCATGCACACGTGGACGGAGGAAACGCATTTGCGAAACGTTTCACGCGGGTTTTAGTGCAATAAATATATGATGTGCAGTCTCGTACGACTACAATGATACATCTTCTTGGTTCTTTCGGTAAAGTCACGTAGAATGGAAATAATAAATAATACAAATAAAACATAATAAATAATTCTCACGACGTTTCGGCCACAACGCAAGCAGCCGTCCTCAGGTGGAGAACAGGTCTGTCGAGGAGACAGAGCCATTCAGACTATTTTTATTATTTGAGACTATTTTATTATTTATTATTTCCATTCTACGAGACTTTACCGAAAGAACCAAGAAGATGAATCCCTGCAGTCACGAAAGCTTTAAATCGAAGTACAATGATACAGTTCGCGGTTTACAAAGGACAAAGATCTGCGTTTGTCCTCATAACTTAGCGAGAGCTCGCCAGTGCGGCAGCACACAAGGGGTGGTGGTGACAGGGGCCAACACAAGCACGTGGCCAAAGCACTTATTTTACGCTGGGTTGACCTCAGGGATGCCCTAGCCAAATTCAGATACCAGCCGCCACTGGTCATTCCAATTCTATTATATTCTTTCATACGGTAACATGTTCAGGGGCTAAATGCCAATGTCGAGCTCTGCGAGCAAAGGACGGGAAGGTTTAAGGAGAGAGTTTGTGTAGTTTTGGATTCTTCTATTGAAGGAGTGCAGACTGCAGTGGTTGATGTCAATTATTGTCAGGTATTGAATTGAGGTGGCAGGAGTAAATGATGACTGGTTTTCGAACGTGTATTCCCACAGGGAAATAAATCTTTGTTTCCTCCAACAGATCTACTTATGCATATCCCTAGGTCAGGGGTCAGGGGTTAGGAGTTAGTGTTAGGTAGAAGCAGATATACAATTCCCAGGGGAGTGACGGTCCTGAAATTAAAGCTTTTAAATAGGGCCCTACATTAATCAACATAACTTTAAACTAAAGTACTTTCTCTGGTGAATAGCAATACAATATTTATTTCTGAGTCTCTATGGAGACCCTTTGCCCCGTTTGCCACTTATCCAACCCACTGGGTATGGGTTCCCCTCTTGGGTTAAAGGTTAGGGTTTAAAGTTTAGGGGTTTGGTGAGCAGGATGAAGTTAGGACCAAACAGATGATATAAAAATGTAAAACTAAACTGAAAGCAGACTGAGCAAGCAACTGTTTCACAAATAAATGTGTAAAGTGTTGTGTAAAAAAAATGTAGATTTTAGTTGAAAAATGCATGGATATAGACTTGCACGCAAAGAGAGAGGTTTACTTTGTAACGAAAAATAAAGCCGGTACAATTCGTCGGAAGGAGAACCAACATTCCTGTATCCTAGATTATTGGCTCCCCGGGGGGACAAATAATTGAGAGAGAGAGAGAACATGTATTTTTGACAAGTAAATTGAACAGCAGTTTGCACATTTTCATATTATTGTAGATATCCACAAGCACAAAGACATACACACGCAGACAGCAGGGACCCACTGCAGGTTTAGACGCAGAGGAATTCTGTTTGTATCCTAGTAGACTGGGTGGGTTGGAAAAAGCTAAATATTTCCAGGTATGAGCTTGCCCAACGTTACAATACAGTGTTCAGCAAAAGGGTGGAAACTGAACACGAGGGCTGGGATGGTGTGGATAGACACAACTTTGTTGAATTAAAACATACAAAGACACAAACACACACGTACAACCACACACACATAATGGTGACCATCCCCTGATTTTACTCATATGCTGTTGAGGCAAGTGGTGTTAGCGAGCACCTATTGAGAGCTGACCGCACCACGTCAGTTGATGGTGTATACAGAACCATGGCTGGCAGCATTTGTCTAACCAGTGCGGATGTTCATTCTGTACCTAAGTAGTTCAAGTTGTAAGTTTCAAGTTATTTTGTTTAACCAGGTGGAAACTCAAAGAGACCAGGATTAGTATCATGTGCAAGAGTGACCGGGGGGCATCCGTCTGCCACGAGGGGGTGATGATTGCTATGCAGATTCCCAGTGGAGTGATTTGCGGTGTAATTTTCGAATTTGGCAAATCCGGACCCTGACGTCAACGCACAGTGGCCTACTCGAGCGAACAACTTGAGGGGATCTCTAACGTCCGTTGTGAATCGAACGGCGGGTACAGCCAATTCTATTACAGTCCGTTCTCCTATAACGTGTGTCTTCATCGCGTGAATGATATATAATGCGATCAATGTACGAGGAAACACAATTTCTTTATAACACGCATGCAAATTGGATATAACGCGATCGAGCGAACGGAACTACGTCACGCAA